GGGGGGGGGGGTGATGCAGTCCGTGACCACGCGTTTGCATGGAGGAGGAGAAAAGCCGTGGGATGTGGGGACCGCCCAGAGGGGCCTTTTAATCATCAGTGAAGATGCAAAGAAATAAATGAATGGGAGCGCACTGCTTCAAGGATTCTCCGTCAGAGACCGAACCTGGTCCCACCAGAAGATGCTCCGTGAGCAACCCGACATCTCCACCCTGCAGCCCAGCTGCCTCCACTGTTTGCACTCAGTTGTAACTGGTCTGTTGTGGAAGAAAGCAAGTGCTGGGACACAGGGCTTTGCTCTTTTCGCGGCACAGCCATCGCCTCCGGTGGTGTGTTGAAAAGCCCTTTATTGATCCGCTGCACAGCCCATCGCTCGCTGCGCGGGCTGGGGACAGACAGACTCCAACGTGATGCGTGCCGTGCCATTAGTGCTGGGTTACCAACCACAAATGACATCCGTCCCGGGAATTTTTGCTGCCTGTGTTAATGGTTTGTGTTGAGACCATGAATCCTATCAACAAAGAGCCAAACCGTTCGGCTACGGCCGGGGGGGATCGCGGGATTTGGGCTTTGCTGGAGACGGGGAGGGCAGGTGGGATTAGGTGGGTGTAGAGGCTCAACCCAGAGGTTTTGGAGGGTCTTTTGGGTTTGCAATCTGGCTGCACGCAGGAGGGGCCCAAGGGCCTCGACATGGAAGCAGGGAGAGTTGCTTTGACTGAAACCCGCGACCCCTCACCTCGAGCTCTTCCCCTTTGCGAGGGTTTTTGCAGAGACGCTCTCTCAGCGTGCAGAACCAGGAGAGAGCAAGGTTTTACAAACGCGGAACCAGCTAGAAAGGCTTTCACAGAATCAGTCCGATTCGTTTTAAAGCTTCTAAACGAATAAACAGTGCCCACACCAAACTGCGTGGTCCAAACGGAAAGAAGGACACAAAATAGGCAGAGGATGCGCTGCCGGAGGAATCCTGATGCTCATTTCCGTGGCTTTGGGGCTCAGGGATGCAATATCCCCCCTTTAATACCAGTGTGAGCTCTGGTTTACCAGCACCTGGGCATTTTCTAACAGCACTGGTGTGTGTCTGTGTATGTGGTGCATGTGTGTGTGTGTGTATTCTCTTCTGTCTAATAATATGGCTGAGTTCACTCTGCAGCCTTTCCCTTGGTGGGGGAAAATATGTACCCACCCACGTATTTCATTAAATTTGTAAGAATTCAGTATTTTTGAAAACTCTACTGCTCTGTCAGATTTGGTTGGAATTGGCCAACACGTTCAAAAGTTATTAGTGTGGGAGTGATGGCATATAGATATATAAACAGCACAGTCACATAAGTAAGCCCCATTTCCTGAAGGAAGTAGGCTAAAAACATAGTGTGCTGAAGACAAGTAAATTGGATTCTTAAAGTTGTTTTAGTCTGAACGGAGTACAATGTTATCTGTGACACAGAAAAGTAAGCTCATTTAAGGAATAGTTTTTAGGTTCAGTAGATGGTTCTCCTAAATTTTCTTCGACGCAATTACGGTGAAAGGACCCTTTCTTTCCTCCTACGTCTCCCATTTTGCTGAAATAGTTTGTGTGAAGTCAAGGGGTGAGGAGGGCTGTGAATCAGGTCGGAAAAAACTACCGTTGGTATCAACTGTCGGTTGTCAGAGGAAGCCAGGGAGGGAGCCCCTTTCTCAGGCTGTTTAAAGGGAAGGTGCAGGATGTCCTTTCCGTGCTGTGGCTTTATTCCTCTCGTATCAGCCAAGAGCCATCACTCTTTCTGCTGCTACCCTGGAAGGATGAAGGATGCACTGGAGACACCAGCTCCCGTCTCGTTAGTGGGAACGTTCATGCCTAACGCAAATTGCCCGTAGGCACTGGTGTGTCACGGTCACCTAAAATATAATATTGAGGCAAGAGAGGTGGGCCAGAAAGCTCATCCTCACCCCTTGGCTTTTGGCACAGCCGCTGGCCGTGGAGGATGGATGCACGTGAAGCATCGGGAGGAGCTCAGGCCTGACTCCAGCTCTCAGTGACAGACGACGGTAGTTTTAACGCAAGGCAGACAGACTCTAATTCTCTCCAGGGTTTCCTTCTGCTACCACAATTCAAGGTTTTGTAATTAGTGGGTGGACTACTTATGAGAGGAAGGGCTGTCACCAGAGCTAGGGATAGGAGTCCCAAAGATGGGCGGCCTTTAGCAAGCACTCAGCTGCTCTCCAGCACAAGCTTCATGGGGGCCCGTTGTTCAGCACCTTAAATAACAGCTCCTCGGAGCAGCCGATCCCCAGCACCCCAGAGGGGATGTTGTTCTCAGGTTAGTCCCAAGTAATGCACTTTCAGGCATAATTATAGCTGAGCCATTCACCAACGATGAGAAAAATATAATTAAGCTCCATAGTCTCAGGAGGAGTTGGGCTACAAATTAGCACAGTGTCATTCAACTTCAGAAAGGGAAACTGGAAGAAAGAAAAAAAAAAAAAAAAAGAGGATGGGTAAAGGAAAATGTTTGGGCTCAGCATGGAGGCTCCTTCAGGATGCTGCAGCGAAGGCGAAGCATCCGTCCGCGTTTGATGTACGACGGGGAGCAGGAAAGGCAAGAAAAGCCCCGGAGAGCTGAACAGCAAAGTGCAGAAGGTTGCTTGAGCCAAACAGGTATTTTCTTCAGAAAAATGGAAATGCAGCCCAGGCAAAACCCACAGAAAAGAATAGATTCTGCAGTTCTGGTCCCAAACATTTTAAGTTGCGGTAATGTCACTACCGGCAGTACGCTGAGCCGTAATAAACGCTGCTTAATGCTCTCTCAGACCTGTGCCTGCAGCTTTGCAATTGTACTTAGCTGCATTTGATTTAAGGTTTCTGCTGGCTTTTCTGGTGCCTGGGGGAGGTGGCTGCGGGGCTCCTGCATTAGTCTCGCCCTAATCCCCGCCTCATGCAGCCGGCGGGGCTTTCGCTGCGGATGGAGACAGGGATGAGGGTTAAGGGGAATGCTGCGGCCCCGGAAAGGTTGTGTGTCCCCTTCCTTGGGTCAGGGTGGTGGGGACGAGCCGGCGGTGGGCTGAAGCCGAAATGAGTCACAGCTGAACTGGCTGCGGGGATGGGGCTGAGCAAAGGCGTCAGGGATCAGCCCAAGTGTGTTGGGGCCTCGTCCAGCCCCTCTTTGGGCACCTCTGGGTCTGGGGAGGG